GGCGGGGACAGCCCCGCAGCGACGGGCCATGCCCGTGTGGCTTTGGAAGAAGGGTCTGGGGGGATGCGTTTTATTTCCTACGTCTCCAGCTGGTGCTGCTGTGTCACTGTCAAGTGATGTTGCAAATATTAGGGAGCTGACATAACTTCCTGAGGGTCCCCACCGCGGCAGCGGTATGTAAGCAACTTTTCCTTGTGTGTGTGTGTGTGTGTGTGCACGCCTCCATACAGAAGGGGAAGCGGCGTTTCCCTGCCTTATGCGTGTGCGTGGTTGTTGCTAGCGACCTCTCCACCACACCTCTGCTCCCGTGCCATGGTCCACCTTGCTTTTGCCATCATTCCTTTAGTAAGGACTCGCATCGCAGCATTTGTCACAACCGTAGCTTGTAGGAGTTGCAGATAGAGGTAGAGCAGAGTCCCTTTGCCTCCCCTAACAGGGCGCTCCTGTGGGAAACTGTGGTGAGGGTCTGGGGGCGAGGGCTCCCTGTACGGACCTGTCTGATGCCCAAGAGCTTCGCTTTGCTTCTGCCCGGGTTTGGGCCCCGCTTGTGGGTGTCCAGTGACCCGGGAAGGCTGCGGTGCTGACCTGTGGTCCTTTTCCCTTTCCCAGCCTTGAACTCCAGCTCCCCTCCCTCCCTGCCGGCCCGAGCAGCCCCCTCTTTTGCCAACACAGCTTTGTAACTCAGGTGTGAAACGGTTATATTTCATTTTGGAAAGTTGGAACAGTCCGAGGTACGTGGTAGTTAGAGTTGCTGCCGCCAGCTTTCAGAGTAAAGGGAATTAGCCATGCCCACCCCATCAACTTTTCTGAAATCTCAGCTAAATTCCTGTGCGTTTCTGTGTAGTTATCTTCTCCAGCTAACTGTGTCCAACACAATCCATCATGGCTTTGACTTTGTTGCTTCGGTAACGGAAAAGTCTCCAGGTTCAGACAAACTCCCCATGCAGAAACAGAGGTACTTATTAATGTGCAGATTAAAATTATTTATGCTGAAGATGTCTGCAAACTGTTTTCCACCAGAACTGCAGAAAATTCAGTTGATCAGCGTCACTCGGACGGAGTGGAAGAGAGCCTGATCTAGAAATAAACACAGAAGAACAGCACCGAGAGCCGTAATATAGCACTCTAGGTAGGCAAAAAATGTCAGCAACGTAGGAAAGAAGCAAACAGAACAATAACGCATGAAGAATTTATTTGCTTCAAGGTTTCTTTTCTTTGCCATGCCTATGAGAGCGAGCGGTGTCTGCTCGCTCAGTGTTCAAGGGCCTGTTCCCTCTTCTCTCCAACGTTCAGCTTTGGGCCTGGAGACCCATCGGGTGGAAAAGTCCACGAGCACGTAAAGACTTTTGGAATGGGTTTAATTGAAATCTTGGGTGAGTATGCTTTGAGCCCAGCCCCTCCTTCCTCCCTAAATCTTCCCAGCCCGTGTGAAGAAAGGGGCGCTGGCTGAAGCCCAGCGCTGCAGGCTTGAGGGATCACCCTGCTTTAGACTTTGAAACCCATAAACTTGCTGCCGATCTGCTGCTACGAGGTGACACGCTCCTGGGTCAAGCCTTAACCTACCTTCCCCTGTTTGTCTGTCCGAAGCCCTCGTGGATGTGCTGTTTGGCTTACCTAGGGTAGGCTGGAAAGCACAGCAAAATTACCCAGTCCTGTGGACTTAAGCAATCCCAAATTACTTGCTGGTCTGGACTTGTAATTTCTGCCCGTGCTAAATTTATTCCAGGGCCATCAAAGATTTTTTGGCATTGCACAAGTAGGTCATTCAAGTCAAGTGTAGGTGAGGCTTAGCTCTGTGTTGATCTTTAGCCTGTCCCCCATGCTCGTCTCTCCATCTCCCTTCCCCTCCTTTCCAGCGCTTCAGTGCTTATGCTTCACAATGTTTATTACAGGGTTATAACAGGCTGATAACCGGGTTATAAAAAGCTGATAACCGGCCAAAACTTTCAGGCTGCTTGCTTTCTTTCCTGGGACTGTTAGAGAGTAAATCCAAAGTGACAGAGAAATAAGGTCAGGAAATAATGAAATGTGGCTTGAGAGAGAATATGCCACTTAGCCAAGGCAGATACCTACCATCCTCAGGAGATGAGAGCCGCAGCAGAGTGCAATTCAGATATATCCTGCAATGAAATACAGTGCTGTAAGTGTGTTTCTGCAAAACACTTGTCATGTAGTGACCGCATCTGTGGTGGCCTCCTACTTTTTTTTTCTTTTTTTTTTTTTTTTCTTTTTTTTTTTCTATTTGTGGCATGTAGTGACCGCATCTGTGGTGGCCTCCTACTTTTTTTTTTCTTTTTTCTTTTTTTTTTTTAAACTATTTGTGGCTGAGCTCTGGGAGTTTGTGCCTGGTACACTCGCGGGGGTGTTGCCCTCAGCCGCCAGCTGCGTGACGGTCCCCAGCAGGACTGGCTGATGCTCTGGGGAGGGATGTGCAGGTCCCAGCTGATGCTCTGCCTGCCCCGCTCCGTGCTGCGGGGCCGTCTCCCCGGGGAGGGCACCCCTCTGCCCACCACAGGCAGATCTGGCAGGAGCTCTGGGCTGCTTGCTTCGCCGTGCTGCGAGCCGAAGAGCCCGCGCGGAGCCTGGGCAGTCCTGCGCTCCTCCAGCCACTTGTGAGCAGCGCGTGGGGAGGCAGGCGAACCAGAGCAACACCGTTGCTGGGTGGCTTTTAGCAATGGTGCACTTGTCATCTTTCGCCTTCTCGGGGAAGCCTGCCAGTTCGGCTGATGGGGGATGTTTTACCGCACCCACAACCGCCGCTTCTGCCAAATAATCCAGGACATTGCACGTAAAACCGTGCGCACGGCACCCAGATAAGCTGAAGGCAAAGGTTGGTGCTTCAGAGGGCAGTGCTTAGTCTGAACGTATTCTGGACTCCCCTTCATATTTTATGGAGGTTGTCTCACCTCTCATTACCGTACGTGTCTATACCATATGTGTGTTTAAAAAAATATAAGGGTCAGAATTTAATGTGGAATGCCAGGAAGGAAGGTGTTGTGAGGATGCCTGGTATTTTTGCTTACACATACCACCTCCAGCATTCAGCCTGTTTTTCACCATCAGAGGAGTCCTAGCATAGCCTTCATTTCAAAGATGACTCATTTCCCTTTCTGCAATACTCTTACGTACTAGTGCTAATAATACTTCTACAAGTGGAAGTCATTATTATAAAGGACTGCTGATAAACTGGCTCATCCCACCTTGCCTCTCAGATGGTATCACGAATGGTAGCCTCAATGTTTTATGTTCTGTTGGAGAGAGTAATTTTGCTTTCAACCCTGGAATTTAATTAACTTCCAAAGATGTGCCTGCATCCATTTGGAAACTGGTGGCATTAACCAAGTAAACCCACCCGGTGGTTTCCTTAAGACACTTGTTCCTTGAGCCTTTTGTTTGCTGTGAACAGTCCGGGCAGGGTATCTGCTGGCTGTCCTATGCCCCGCATATCAGGGCGAAGTAGGAGCAGCCAGGCGTGCCACAGGTGGTGCCGATAATAAGGTGGCGATGTGATTCATGTGAGGAGGAGGGATAAAGGCTGCAAAGGCAGCAGCAGTCGCTTTTCCAGGCTCTGGTGCTGGCTGTAAGCCTAGCGCTCCCCGTGGCGTGCCCTTTGCTGTAGAGAGGGGGCTGAAGGAACGTGACGTTTTGACTTTTCCCTGGTCCTGATTCGTGGATCCTGAATCCTGATGACTTTCTTTTAATGTGAAGCCATTTTTTAGATGGCTGGTGGGAGAGAGAGGGATGCAACGTGGCTGGTGATAACCGTGGCAGCGGATGATCGTGTCGCTGTTCTGGCATACGGCTAACACCAGCATGGGAAGGGTGTTATTTTTAAGACCCCTCCTTTGCTAGTGGAAGCGTGAGAAGCAGAGCAGCGAGCCATCTCGCGCAGCAACTGAGCTTTCATGGCAGACGCCAGTTAACCTGATTTTTGTATTAAAAAAAAAAAAAAGGAAAAAAAAGGTTTGCTTTGTTTTGTAGAGCTTGCTTTGCACGTGTCTTGCTGCACTATCCAAAGGAAGGATGAGGGCAATAGAAAGCAAATACATCCTCCAGGGACAGCCTGGGTGCCTTTTGTTCGCATCCTTCTCGCTGTGGATGCCGAGAGCCTGTTGCCTTTGGGAAGGGGGTGCTGAGGAGCAGAGGATGTCAGCGTGGCGGGTGCCCTGGGCACTGCTGGATGGGCTGCACCTCTCGGGGATGCTGGCCGGCTTTGCCTCCTGCCTCTGCTTCCCATTACTGCTGCTTGCAGCGACCTGAGAATACAACATTTCCCCCAAAATCGCTGCATTGCAGCGCTCAGTAGCTAATTAATGGAGCCCTTGCTTACACCTCTGGTGTCCCAAGCAGGGCACAAAAGCCTTTTGTTGTTAGGGAGTTAGGCAGGAGAACTGGTACTTTATGTTGCTCGTCCAGTTTTCTTTCTGCTGCCTCCCCAAGGATGCTAAGGTTATTATTTAATAACCACACCAGCGGGGCGTCCCAGCGGGGTTCCTGCAGCACCTTGTGCGGTGGGTGGAGCGGGAGCTGCCGGGAACGGGAGAGCTGGTGCTGCCCTCGGAGAGCTGCTGCGTGGAGCTGGGGGGGGACGGACGCGGCTGGGCAAGGTGGTGATTTAAAGGTGGCGGCAGAAAAATTTCTCTTACATCTGTTTGCTTTGCAGGAGAGGGGTTGTAAGGGATAGGGAGGAAACTTAAACTTCTCTAGCGCAGGGTGGGAGCCAGCTGTCCGTCTCACACCATCCTGTATTGCTGCATCTCGTGAGCGAACCCTCCTTTTGGTCCCACTCCTGATCGGGTTATAACACGGTGCAGTAAAACCGCCGCTTCCTTCGCTGCCCGGGTTAATGGAAACCCCTTTAATAATTCAGGGGATAAAATTCTGCGCTTCGGGTGGTGGATTTTGCAGGAAAAAGCGCAGAAATAGAGGTGGTTCTCGGGTGGGCTGGAGCGGGGGTTGCCCGTGCTGACTGACAGCCCTGTGGCCTTTCCTCTCCCCAGATAGTGATGTACATAGGCCAGGTCTCCAAGGACATCCTGAAGTGGCCTCGGCCCCTCTCGCCACCTGTCGTCAAGCTGGAAATGAGGACGGACGCGGAGTACGGGATGCCTTCCACCCACGCCATGGCTGCCACTGCCATCTCCTTCTCCTTTCTCACTGCAACCACGAACCAGTACAAGGTAGGGGTCACAAAAAGAAAAAAGAAAACAAAGAAAATTAAAAAAAAAAAAAGAAAAGGACGTGTCTGCTTCCAGCAAGCTACAGAAAACTAGCAAATCCAAAGCTGTTGCAGCTTCCAGAGGAGCTCTGCGTTACACTTTTCACAGTGTATTTTTCCCTGTTGTTGCCCGTAGCTGGCTGATAATAGACACAAGAAGAAATTTAGCGGAAATCTCCTTTCTTTAGCACGAAGCCCGCTCGGAGCCGCGGGCGGGTTGCGCTGCCCTGCCGCGGTTTGGCGTGTTCGCTGTGTTTTCGCACGCGGGGTGACCGTGGAGGGAGCCGCCGTGCTGCTGCGGAAGTTGCCCGGCGTCAGCGTTTTGTGCTCGCCCCGTGCCCGCCAAGCCAACGCTGCACGTCGGGGAAACGCTGGCTCCCAGGGAAACCAAAGGAGCTCTGTGTCGCCTGGTTTTCGTATGATGCAGGAAAAGCATCCTTGGAAATCCCCTGGCTCTAACCTGTGTTAGACTAGTAGCACACAACACGATTTGAGAGCCTGTTTGTCAGAGGAGTGACAGCAGTTTCACTGCACTGGAGCTGTAGGCTGCCTGGGGAGATCTCATAATTATTTTCCCCAAACCTTCAGCCTTTTATCTTTCTAAAAGGTTTATTTTCTGGAAACTCATTTCTCCACGATGATTATTTTCGTTTCATTTTATGAATCCAAACACGTGTTTGCTGTACTCTAGCAATAATAACTTCCTGGCTGCATCGTATTTAAGTGTGTTTCTCAGCCCTCTCAAGCGTATTTCAAAGAGAAACCCAGGTAACCAAGAGGGCTCGCAGTACGGCCGGGGGGTCTCGCTGTCGCAGTGTCCCTGGGTGTCCTCCCCGCGGTGCCAGCGTGTGTGCAGGGAGAAAAGGTGGCCACCCGTTTGATGAAAGGTGCTGTGTCCTGGGGCTGTAACTCATAGAAACGGAGGTCTCCGAATTAATTTTAACTTCCAGACTCATCCGGTCCCAGCTGTGAAGCAGCGGGCTTTGCTCCTGCCCACGGTGCAGGGATGAGCGAGCGGGTCAGCGGTGCCCAAAGCTGCGCTGCCAGCCTCCTGCTCCCTGGTCATTGTACGGTAACTGGTCGGAGCAGCTTGGCAGCGGGATGGGGACGGGGAGGGGGAGCCATGAGATGGGATATTTGTCAGCCCTGGAAGGCCAGATCCATCCCGTGCGTCCGATCTGGCAAAAAGAGCTGGTCAGCAGCACTTTCTCCTCCTCCTCGGTCGATAAGCTACCCGTGGGACACGCGGCTCTTCACGGGCTGTCTTGTACTTCCTGGAAACTGCCATGAAACAATAAAGCTGCTGTAAAATAATTAAATGATTTAATTGCCTCTATTAAGAAGGAAAAATCTACCCGTATGTTACGCTGCTATCTTCTAAAGCTGCCCTAGTCATCAATTACCGATCTGAACTAGCTCTCAGGCTGCCTGCTGAGGGGGGAATAAAGTGGGCGTAAATCCTCCGAAGACTTAGAGAAGTGAGAAAAAAAAAGTAGCGTTTTATGAACGGGGAGTGACATCTGCAGCCGGGTCTGAGCCCTCTATTCCGGGGGCTAGAGGACGCCGGGGGGAAAGGGTCAGGAGCGAGTTGTTATGCTTAAAATTTCCACAGAAGCATTTTTGCGCTGACCTACGGCCACCCTGGTCGGTCGTCAGCCCCTCGACAGTAGATGGAGACTTTGTGTCAAATCGGGTGAATTAATTTCATTGATTTATATTTTGGGTTGGTTTACTTTTTTCAGAAAAATGTCCTTTATGGACTGAAAGGAGCCCACCGGCCCACTTGGTTTCAGGATTTGAATGGGTGGATTAAGGGCTAATATGTTAAGCTTATTCTTTACCAAATGTGTGGGGTTTTTTTCCTTTTTAAATATTGATTTATTTCAACACTTCTTTCCATGTTCATAGGCAACTCAGAGAGGGAATTAAGCAAAACCAGCTTCATCAGAAGACGGTTAAACCTGAAGCGTCACAGGGAAGAGCGGTCCTGACTGCTCTAATAGCTGGACTGCGGTTTCAGCCCAGACATTGATTTTCCCCTCCCAGCCCGCTGCTCGAGGACTATTGATCACGCTTCTGGTCAGGCCCTGCGGCTATCGCGTTCCCCTGGGGTGATCTGAGGCTGCAGTTCAACCTCGGGCATCGCTTGTACAACGTGCTGTGCCTTTTTTCCTTAAGGTCTTTAGCACTAAGATGGATTTTGCAGGTGGATATTGTTGGGGAAAAGCTCTGCAAATGCCATCTGTTTCCCAGGTTTCCCCGCGCTGAGGCTAGACCTTTGCAAAGGTGGGCACCACAGATAACGGAAGGACCTTCCAGCAGGATTGCACGTTGGCCGATGTGAGGTCTCGTCTCGGGTCACGTTAGTCTCTTTGGGAAAGTACAGCTCAGGAGCCGCTTCCCAACACGAGATCCTTACGTCAGTCCGGCTGCTTGGATGTTTTATTTCAGAGATGCACTGATGTTAAAGTGGATGACTGTGTAATGTGTGTGTTTACTTTTTTTCCCCCTTTTCACAGTATCCGTTCGAACTAGGCCTGGTCGCAGCCTTTGTGTTTTCGATGCTGGTGTGTCTCAGCAGGCTCTACACGGGAATGCACACGGTCCTGGTAAGGATGCTCTCCTCCTCCCCGTGCCGGTCGTGCCTCCAGCTCTGCTTGCCTACAGCAATTCCCATCTTCAAGCGATGTACGTCCTGCCTCGGCCGGGCCACTGCAGGAATATAGGAGTCATGCCACTAAATTTCAGGCTGTACGTTCAAAGGCAGATGTGAGGAAACCCTCGGGCTATTGCTATTTGAATCCGCAGGGGAATTATTTATACCATTAGGGAAGCAGCAGTGCACGTGGGTTGAGGAGCCGGGTGAGGTCGGTGTGGCGTCCGAATTGTAGTTCTCTATTTTGAAATTTTAATTGCGAGGAATGCACTTGGGCAACTGACGCTGCTCCTTGGCTAAGCCTTTTGTGCAATAGTATCACTGTTGTCAGGGAGAAATATTCCGGGCTGGTTTAGCCTGGGAGTGTCAGGGAAGGAATAGCAGGTGGGTGAGTCACGCCGGCGACCAGCGGAGAGCGGAGGAGAAGGTAGAACGTGACGAGTGAGCTGCCGTTGGGGGACAGCTTGTCTCGTGTTGCCGTACAGGGGCATGGCACTTAAAAAAAATATTACGACAAGCTTCTCGTTTTCAGCTGGTAGGAAATTCATTCTTAAAGGATTGAGATGCAGACAGGCTTCGTTCAAAAATAATCATAAAATATCTGTGACTTTATATGACAGCCTTGTTGGGCACAGTTGTTTAGAGATGTCAGCCCTGCTTTAAGAACAGATTTCAGTGTAACTTTGATTAGGCAGTAGCTGGTTCCCTCCTGACGAGAGGAAACGTTATTGATCTGTTACGTATAATGGTCAGAGGGGTGGTCCAGCTGCCTAACTATGGATAAAAACTCCCGGCTACTTCCCCGCAGGAGTTTGGTACGCGTTGTTTGTTGGTTGCATATGCATAAATAATTGCATTTTTTTACTAAGTGTTAATTATGTTTGTAATAAGGAGACTTGATGACTGTAAGAAAGGGAGCCCTTATGAGATTAAGGTTATCTATAAAATATAGCTTGACCTTCCCTTCCAGGCTTAGTGGATCAAAACAGTATCTTAAATCGAAGCTGGAGACACCCTTTCTTGACTAGTGACCTTAAGTCAATCAGTAAAAATTCTTCGCATACTTCCCTTGCTGGTCCATCGTAATGAAAGACTCCTCTAAATTTAGATGGATTTTAGGGTAAAGAAGAAAAAGTCCTTTGTGCCTTTGACATGATAAAAAAGGGCTTTAAAATAAAAAAAGCTCCTTAGCTGAACTGTGAGCAATGCTGCCTTTCAAAAGGGCAAACGTACTTCGCCGGGGTCTTCATCCCGTGCGTGCCATGGTGGGGACGGAGCTGGGGAAACGGCTGATGGTCACAGCTGCCCAAATGCAACCCCCCTCTCTCTGCGGCGCCGTCCGTCCCACCTGCAACGACAGGTTCTTTCGGGGAAGACGCGCGGTTCAGAGACATTTACCACACCTTGAGGGACGGCTCCCAGCCTGAGCTTCCCGAGATGCCGCGGGGCCAAGGCACAGCGGCCTCTCGGCCAAGCCACCAGCCGAAACAGCCTCTGCCTAATGAATCCAACTGAGGCAGGTTCTTTCGGGGAAGACGCGCGGTTCAGAGACATTTACCACACCTTGAGGGACGGCTCCCAGCCTGAGCTGCCCGAGATGCCGCGGGGCCGAGGCACAGCGGCCTCTCGGCCAAGCCACCAGCCAACCCAGCCTCTGTCTAATGAATTCTTAACTGAGGTTTTAATAGAAGATGAATACCGACAGGACATAGTTATATATTAAACAATCATAATATTTTAGTAAAGGAAATGAATGGGTAAAATAATACCCACCAACTTAGTGTAACTGAATTTGTCCCGTTTGAGGAACCAGAAAAGGAGTGGCAAGGTGGTTGCACCGTGCTTTGCTACAGCCGTAGCTGAAGCTCCGGCGCGGGGGGCTCGTCTTCTGTAGCCTCAGCTCTGCAAATCAGTCTGTATTTCAGCATTGCTTTTGGATCGGGAGCGGCCTCAAAGAGCACAGTCGTGTCAGTGGAAGAGATGTTACCATTAAAGACCTTCTGGAGAGGCAGTAAACTGGTATGAGAGCTACCTGCATCGTTATAGCCGTATCAGAACGAATACTATGCTTAGGGAAAAGGCAATAAACACCCGTTGCCCGGGCTGTTACCAGGAGAGCATCACCCAGCTAGAGAAGGGGGTGGAAGCAATACGCTTGCGCTGCTGAGAGAGAATTGAATTACAGCAATCCGCCTTCACCACCTCAACGCGAGAACATCCCGTGTGCGTGGAGAAGCAGGGGAAAGGCAGGGTCCTTCCTTCTAGGTCTTAAATGATGGAGTCTGAGGAGCTGGGGAAGTGGGAATCTGCGGTTACCTGGAAAGGGCAAAGTGAAAATTTGGACAGATTTTGAAGCAGAGAATCTGTAATTTTATAGAGGTTATTTTTAAGGAACAAAATGCAGTTGGGGACAATAGGACTGGGGTTTTTTTTTGTTGCTGTTTGCTTTTTTCCCCAGACAATTGTATTTTAGAAACCATTCCTTTACTCCCCATCTTAAAGCTTTGGCCCAATTTTTGATCCCTGTCTCAGTGAGATGAACAAGTTTTTCTGTCTCAGCGTCGCTGGAGCACATCTGAGTCATCCCGTGTTTGAAACGACGAGCGATGGTGTTCGTGTGAGCGCACAGCGTTCCAAAACGCTGCGAGCAAGATCACCGCAAATCATATCGGGAAGAACTTCATCAGCCGAGGGCGGCCCCCAAACCTGGGGGGAGGAGGGGAGGCTTTTAGCCTTCTTTTACCCCTTCAGGGCCAGCCGTAGGAATTTCTTAATGCGCCAAGCTAATGGGTTTGGCGTTCGCTGTGGAGGCAGAGCTGGATCTCCTCCTGGTGTAATGCATACTGCCCTGTCTCCAGCCAGCGACGGGGGCTTGGGGAAGCAGACAGGCGCTCCGGAGCCACAGCTGATGTTGTGACAGCCTTACCGGTACTGCAGCTTCCCACTTGCGCTGCCCTGAGTTAAAAGCGATAAATGCCCGGTGCCGGCCAGTGTGCGGGGTGGGCTACAGGGAGAAGTCAAAAGGTCACTTTTTATGACCAAAAAGAAACCTGAAAGTTGTTTCTGTAAACGAAGGAAATAGTTTTGTTTGGGTTTTCCCCCCCCCCCGAGAGGGGAGATACAGGGAGAAGTCAAAAGGTCACTTTTTATGACCAAAAAGAAACCTGAAAGTTGTTTCTGTAAACGAAGTGAATAGTTTTGTTTTGGTTTTTTTTTTCCCCCCCTGAGTTACACCGATTCAGTGTTGATGCGTTTATTGCTGATTACACCACCCTCGGGAGAGGGTTCTCGGTAGCCCCCACCCTGCTCCTTTGCTGTGCCGTATCTCAGGTTTTTTACCACCACCATTAATCCTGAAGTTATCTTAAATATTTTGAAGCTGACAAACAGTCCATTGGCATCACTTCACACACTGCGGCACTACAGTTCTCCTGGGATGAAACGGAGTAACCTATAGGAGTGGAAATGAGTAAGATATTTCTGTTCAGGAGAGCGAGTAGCGTCTCACACTGTAACTGAAAACGTGAAGGGAATTCAGGCAATACAAGACAGAATAGGAAAAGTGTTATTTCTGCTTTGATTGGAAACATCAGGGAAGATGCTCGAGTGCCACCGTGTTCGGGGTGCTGGTTCGATGTTCCGGGGGCCTTTTGTGAGTGTTTACATCTCCAACCGTAGTTTCAGTGGGAAGAGCACAGAACTGCAGTCTTGCCTTCGGAAAGCCAGACCACACGCTTTTGCAATCCTAAAACAAATGGTGGTCTAAGACCTTGTGAAACAAAAAAAAAAACCCACCCCAGCCCAGCGCAAGAACGGCAGCAGCGGTGCCAGTGCCCACAGACGCCGCCGTGCTTCCTCGGGGACGGGCAGAAAGCATTTTGAAGCGCCCCAGTCCTGCGTCCCAGGCATCGCGTGCAACTGGATTTTTACCTCAGTTGTTTTTCTTTACGTACCTGTAGCACAGGAAAATAACTTGGAGGGCTCGCAGCGTTAGAGACCCGACACCGGCCTGTTCTTTAGGTAGCAAAGCAAAAATGACAGCTTTCTAGTTAAAATCGAGAGGAGCGAGGCCTCCCTTCTGTGGAACCCGGGCAGATGCTCGTCGCTGTGGGGGGGG